CTCTTCTTCTTCTTCTTCTTCTTCTTCTTCTTCTTCTTCTTCTTCTTCTTCTTCTTCTTCTTCTTCTTCTTCTTCTTCTTCTTCTTCTTTTTGTAGTGGCACTGAATTGAGAACAAAGACACTAAAAACGATAGTGTATAAATTTAGAAAATTTTAATTATAACGATAATAACCTTTTTAACAAGTAGCACTAACATAGAAATAACATCCGCAACAATAGAAATTATAAACTTTCTGGTAATGGAAACAACAATGGTAATGATAATAATAACAATAACGATATTTAGTGAAATAAGATAATGAGAATCATATCAGCAACGATTATTATATAATGAAAATTATAATGGTGATTATGATGTCAACAATAATGATAGTAATGATGACTAAGATAATAACAGTTGAAAATGATAACAGTATCATAAAAAAATGGTATCATAATCAATATCATGGATATAATTAATATCAACGCTTACGAAATAGAGATAGTGATGACATTATTAATTAATAATAATAACAACAAAACAGGCTCGTCCTGACATTCACAACCTCAAGAACGTACGTTTTAACTGAATAACAATATTATCATTGTACTTAAAATCATAAACATCACAAATATTTTGACTAGCGAGAACACATCAGATATCCAATTACCGTAAATGCTAGATCAGGAATTCCTCTTTTACAGAAATGAGTTGCTGTGATTATAAGCCTGCTCTTGATGCACGAGGGAGGCACAAAGGTGCACCCCCATCACTAACATAGTTTTGTGATATTCCTTGCCGACGGAAGATTTTGCAACAGCGATAATAGTATTGACAAGCTATTGCAAAAGCTCTCAATGTTATGTACACAATTCACATACATGTAAATCACCTCAATTGATTATAAAATACTCTAAGAATTGATTGCATGGCTACAATATTCATTATTATGTACAAACTATAGCAAAAGCTCTCAATATTATGTACACAATTCACATACATGTTAATCACCTTAATTGATTACAAAATACTTTAAAAATTGATGACCATGGCTACAATATTCATTATTTTGTACACACTCATACATATGTAAATCACCAATAATGACTACATATAATATACTCTGAAAATTAAATACCGTGGTTACAGCCTACATCATTCTCCGTAATTCGCACATAACAGCACAGCTAATGAAAATGTACATGGCTTTAACATAATTATTGCTAACAATTGTTCATTTATATCATGTGCATGGGGCCGTGCGTCTGTTTCAGTGTGTTTAGAGTGTATGTGTACATGTACCTGGAAGAGAAAGATGTGAGAAAGTATGTTGTGTATGCATGTATTATATACATGTGTGTGTATGCACGCGTGTGTATGTATGTATGTATGTGTGTGTGTGTGTGTGTGTGTGTGTGTGTGTGTGTGTGTGTGTGTGTGTTTGTGCAAAAACCAAAGAAATGGCTAGGGTCTGGACAGTAAAGATTATACTTATGTTATCTTATCTAAGAGTAGCCATGTCACATACACATGTGGCAAGTGGTATTCATAGACGTGGACACTGGAAGGTGTAAGTGCTGTTCTCATCTTCCTGCTCTATCTGTAGTAAGCATTCCAACAATGCCTGTTTAAGCTTTTCCAGTTTCAAAGGGTTACTGAAAAAGAGAAAGGAAGTGAATGATTATAAATATGTCTCTGGTGTAGCAAATGTACAGCAGAGCTGCAAACAAAGTTCAAGCATGTATGTAAACACTCACACAACATTAACACGTTCATAAATGTGTGAGGACTTGATGATATTGTCTAAAGAGGAGTCATATTATCCTAGTATTAGCCGACTGGTATGTTCCTCAATGATTTGGAAGAAAACGACATTAACCACAGCAAACAAACACATCCAAATCAAACAAAAGATAACCTGTCTCCTTCCGAGTTACAACTGCCCCGCCCCCCCCCTTTTAATGCAGGAAATGAGCTCGCCATTCTGACATAAGAAAGGACACAACTTTCCTGACCTGTATATCGCTCACAAAATAAGCAACTACACCATCCAGCCAGTATACCCACTCCCCTAAATTATATAGATAGACATTCTAATATGAGCTGCTATCATTCAGATATTCCCATTTGGAAAAGATGTTTGGTCTGGTCCATGATCGACAGGCAACCTTAAAAATGCATTTTATACTCTGGCCAACCCGCTCTGATGTAAAATATGCCGATACGGGTGTAAACATTCATTATTTAAAAGAAAAAAAAAAGAACAACAAAAAACTTTGATCCTCTTTAACTGAGTTAAATTAACTCTTGCATTACCTTGTTACAATACATCAAAGTACGTTTGACAAGCATGTCTTCAGAAGATAAAACATGACACAACTTGAGTTAAAACAACTTAGTGAATATTGAAGAAGCTTCGGCACATTCCAACATTGCATTGAATTTTTAAAAAGTGAACCGGAGCAAGTGAAAATTAGCAAGATTGACTACTGACGGGAAAGGAAGTCATCTTCCATGGCGTCGGTAGCTTAGTGGTTAGGCTCTAAGACTCGCATCTTAAGGTCGTGGGTTCGAATCCTGTCGGAGGCCCGATGTTGTGTCCATTGGAAAGGCACTTAACACCAATTTTCCTCACTTCACCCAGGTGGCAATGGGTACCCGGCTGTAGACATTGAATCTTGTCAGTTTGTGAGTGTTTGAGAGCGTGAAATCCTCAACCTGCTCTGTATGCTACCTGGGAAGCATATAATGTTTCTGAGCTGTGTTCTAGCCTCTGCTTGGGTAATGACTGTTATAAAGCGCGTAGAGCATGCTGTAGAGCGTGAATATGCGCTAAGTAAATGCATTATTGTTATCAACTCACAAATATGAGGTCTGTTGAACACCAGTGTTGTTACCACCAATACCAGAGGGCATAGCTGAAAGAAAGATAGAAAGAAACAAACCACACATGAGGTTGGTTGAACGCGCTGAAACAATGCAGCAATGGGATCATTCCCAACAGCCAGTCTGTAGCTTACTTTCATTTAATAAATAATCTCGAATGATGCTCCAGCTTAGTCTTACTTAGTGTAAAAAACAGCTTACGCAAGAGAATGTTGATTTTTGTGATTATAGAAGCTGGGACTCTGTCCTTTTGCCAATAGAATGAAGGGTTAACGATAAGGACACAGTAGTAGCCACATTGAAATATATTATAGGTATACATATACATGTACATCGAATAAGCAAGCAAAATAAAAGCTTCTCCATAATAGTATTATGATGGATAAACGGATAGCTGTCTGTCTGTCTGTCTGTCTGTCTGTCTGTCTGTCTGTCTGTCTGTCTGTCTGTCTGTCTGTCTGTCTGTCTGTCTGTC